TATCAAAAATGATAATAATAATAATAATAATAATAATAGTAATAATAATAATGATAATAATAATAATAATAATAATAATAATAATAATAATAATAATAATAATAATAATAATAATAATAATAATAATAATAATGATAATAATAATAATAATAATAATGTTAATAACAATAAAGATAATATCAAAACCAATAGTTATAATGATGATTATAATAATAACAACAAAACAATTATGATAATAACAATAACAATGAAGATAATAATAATGATATTAGTAACAATAATAATAATAATAAAGAAAATAATAACAATGATAAAAATAATAACGTATATATGTATATAAAATTATACCATTATCATTATCATTACTCTTGATATCCAACAGTCGAGCAGGAACACGAGCTTCTAAAATCGATCCGAGTATAACCTAAATTCCTCAGACATACAATCCGGAAAGACACATTAGAAGACCTTAGCCTAAGCTTTAAGGTCAGCAAGTTCGAGGGAGACTGAGAAAAAACATTCCTCGGCCATTTCGATAGACAAACTCTTTCGAAGTCTGTGGGACAAAGTTTGACAACGTGAGATTTGGCGCCAAGTTGTTCGTTCAACACACACACACACACACACACACACACACACACACACACACACATACACACACACACACACACACACACACACACACACACACACACACATATATATATATATATATATATATATATATATATATATATATATATATATACATATCTATCTATCTATCTATCTATCTATCTATCTATATATATATATATATATATATATATATATATATATATATATATATATATATATAAATATATACATGTATATCAATATGCATACGTGTGTGAGTGTGCACGTGCGTTCTGTATGTGTGTTGGTGTAAGTATGTTTTGCTTTTTGTTTGCATTATTATTATCATCATTTATATTACTAATATCTTTATTATCATTATTATTATTACCCTTGTTACCATTATCATTGCTATTATCATCATCAAAATCATGATCATCATAAGACTTATTGTTGCTTGTTGTATGATAACAATAACAATAATAATACTGATAACAACAGTAATGATAATGGGATCACTAATGCTACCTCTATACTCATAATTAAAATGATAATAATGATGTGATTATTATTAAATGTGATAATAATAATTATTATAGATAATTATTTTCATATATCAACATTTCATTGTATTACAAATATGTATATATTTATTGAATATAATAATGATGATGATAATAATATTGATGATAATAGTAATTAAAATTATAACAATGATAATAATGATAATGATGATAATAATAGTAATAACAATAGTAAGAATAATAAGGATAATAATAGCGATATCAAAAATGATAATAATGATAATAATAATAATAATAATAATAATAATAATAATAGTAATAATAATAATGATAATAATAATAATAATAATAATAATAATAATAATAATAATAATAATAATAATAATAATAATAATAATAATAATAATAATAATAATGTTAATAACAATAAAGATAATATCAAAACCAATAGTTATAATGATGATTATAATAATAACAACAAAACAATTATGATAATAACAATAACAATGAAGATAATAATAATGATATAGTAACAATAATATAATAATAAAGAAATAATAACAATGATAAAAATAATAACGTATATATGTATATAAAATTATACCATTATCATTATCATTACTCTTGATATCCAACAGTCGAGCAGGAACACGAGCTTCTAAAATCGATCCGAGTATAACCTAAATTCCTCAGACATACAATCCGGAAAGACACATTAGAAGACCTTAGCCTAAGCTTTAAGGTCAGCAAGTTCGAGGGAGACTGAGAAAAAACATTCCTCGGCCATTTCGATAGACAAACTCTTTCGAAGTCTGTGGGACAAAGTTTGACAACGTGAGATTGGCGCCAAGTAGTTCGTTCAAACACACACACACACACACACACACACACACACACACACACACACATACACACACACACACACACACACACACACACACACACACACACACATATATATATATATATATATATATATATATATATATATATATATATATATACATATCTATCTATCTATCTATCTATCTATCTATCTATATATATATATATATATATATATATATATATATATATATATATATATATATATATATATATATATACATATATATCAATATGCATATGTGTGTGAGTGTGCGCGTGCGTTCTGTATGTGTGTTGGTGTATGTATATTTTGCATTTTGTTTGTAGTAGTATTATCATTTATATTACTAATATCTTTATTATCCTTATTATTATTACCATTGTTACCATTATCATTGTTATCATCATCATCAAAATCATTGTCATCATAAGACTTATTGTTGCTGTTGTTAGTATCATTATCATTATTATTATCATTATTATAATAATAATTATTATTGTTATTATTATTATTAACAATATTTTCATCATCATTATTATTATTATTACTATTATTAACAATATTTTCATCATCATTATTATTATTATTACTATTATTAATATATTTTTCCCTATTATCATTATTATATCATCATTATTATATTAATTATTTCTATTATCCTTATTATTATCTATGCTACAGTTATTGTTGTTGTTAGTAGTAGTAGTTATTGTTGTTTCTGCTGTTATTGGTGTCGTTATTGCAGTTATTGTAGCATTAGTTACGTCATCAATATTATCGTTGACAATATTTCTACTACCATTGTCATTATTATCATCAACATGATCATTATCATTATTGTTATCTTTATTATTATTATTTCTATTTGTAAATATTATCATCGATAATAAGCTATTATTACCACTATCGCTGTCGATATTATTGTTTTTTTCATAATTTATTTTCATAAATAATTCAATAACATCGCTGTCAATATCATTGTTTTTTTCATAATTAATTTTCATAAATAATTCAATAATATTGCTGTCGATATTATTGTTTTTTTTTCATAATTAAATCTGTTAGTAATAGTAGTATGATATCATCATTGTTATCGTCTTTTTGTAGCATCATTATTACATTTTCATTGTTGCTATTATCATTACCATATGGTCATTGGTATTGCTGTTATCATGATTATTTTCATTATTGTTATTATCGTAATTATCATTTTCATTACTATTAATTATTATTGCCATAATTATCATTATCGTAATATAATTATCATCTTCATCATCGCTATCATTATCATCCTCATCCTTAATTATCATCATCATCATCATTTCATCATCACCTTATTATCAACATCACGGGGTTTTTTTTTCATCACACGTATTATTAGTACCAATGCTAATAACAAACAACAAAAGTCCTGCTTTCGGAAAGTGACTTGACTCACCACATGCTATAAACCTCACAAAAACACGGGCTAGCTTTGGGATGATTTCCATAGAGATGATAATGAGTTTCATTATTTTCTCTCGTTATGTGTTTAAAAAAGGGACAGGATTCTAGGACATATTCCTTAAAAAGAATTCTGGAGGCAAATGTCTCGACTGTGGGAATGAAAAATAAAAGAAAGGTCTCCGTATGTAACTTTTATTCTCGGTGGTGCAAACGTATAAAATATTTTCAATTGCAGCTACATAAATGCATAGGAAACTCCTAATAATAAATATCTTATATACATAAGTTTGCATAAATATTTGAGCCACAACAATAGATTCTTCCACACTGTGTTGACGCGCATACTCTCTCTCTCTCTCTCTCTTTCTCTTTTTCTTTTTTTTATTGTTTGTGTGGTTGTGATTATGAGCATATTGTAGGTTGTTGGTGTTAAGCAAAAGCGTGTGATAAAGTGTATTTGTGTGTGTGTGTGTGTGTGTGTGTGTGTGTGTGTGTGTGTGTGTGTGTGTGTGTGTGTGTGTGTGTGTGTGTGTGTGTGTGTGTGTGTGTGTGTGTGTGTGTGTGTGTGTGTGTGTGTATCTGTGTATGTGTGTGTATGAAGAGTGCTAGCGCGAGTGTAAATGTGTGACCATGAATACATATGTAACGACGCATGTAAATGTGAAAGTGACAATGACCATGAATAGCTATGAATGTAAGTATTCAAGTACAAGAACAGAATTACTCGTCTCGATGTAAATACAGCCATGACTATGAGAGTCGATGAACGTGAGTGAATGAGCATATGCAAGGGAGTGCGGTGAACATGTCTCCAACGTGTCAGCATCCCACAGGACAAGGAGAGAAGAGAGAATAGCAGGTGTAGCAGCTGGCGATTATGAGAAACAGAAAGAAACAAGAAAAATCCAGCATTCTCGTTCCTCTTCGTTGTCATTCAAGTAACGATTGAGCGATGGAATACAAAAAAAAAAATAATCATCATAATTGAATAATATTGTCCATTCAACCATTCTTTCTCTCTTTCTATGATATATATTTATATATTAACTATATATGATCTAATTAAAACTCTCTAATGTTCTACCACAAAGAATACGGTACAAAGTTGTAGAAAATAAAAAAACACACAACGAAAAGAAAAAAACAGGCGAGATATATATATATATATATTACAATGTACATAGTTTGTTCTTTAATTTCTTCACTAACAATGGAAATCTTCAGGAGGCCTAAACACACAAGAGGACAAGACTGCATCTTTGACTTTTCTGAAATACTTTAATCCAAGAGAAAGGAACATGGAATCAAAGTGTAAAGCTGAAAATATGAACAGAAAACATAATTGGGAATAATTCTTTTTTTTCTTTTAAATGATAACTGTTTGTCTTTGAAAAGAATGGTTTTAGGTAAAAATGTATTTGTGTGTGTGTGTGTGTGTGTGTGTGTGTGTGTGTGTGTGTGTGTGTGTGTGTGTGTATATATATATATATATATATATATATTATATATATATATATATATATATATATATATATATATATATATATATATATATATATATATATTCTGAACATGTGTGTGTTACATAACCTGTAAAACATAATACATATCTAAGTACCATAGATGTTTAACTCCCTTATACAAAAAAAAACAGCGTAAGCAAAATTAACAGTGAGTTTAAACACAGATTATGCAAGAAAAACAGCTCTTTTCAGATTCGATGAAGCATAGCAATCTGTCTTACATATTTAGTATATGGGTTTTGTTCAATTTTCTCCTTAGTATGATCTCGTGTGACTGACTAGAGGTACAGTTTTGTTCAGGTAAGAACTTAAATACTGGGCAAGCACATAACTTATCAACTTGAACTGGTAACTATTACTACAGATACCCGGTAACGATTTATATACTGTATATATACTGCATTATGTACACGTGAATGCGAGTCGTTGAGCTTAAAACAACAACTTCAGCAGACACTTGACTCCCGACAGCAGCACTTCCGCTTCGCCAAACAAGTTCCTTAAGAAGAAACAGTCATAATAAATAAGAAAAATAAAATAATAGTGATAATAATAATAATTAAGATGATAACAACAACAATATACAGCCGCATTGGCGAAATTCGTTGAATTAATACAAGAGAGAAGTTTTTGAAAGACATGAACAGTAGCCGATGTGAGAGCGCGCGCGCGTGTCCGCACCCGGCGGCGCTCACGAGTTGATCCAGGCGTTCATGATCTCGAAGTCGGCCAGTACGTTCGACGGCGACGACGAGGCCACGCCCACGCTCGCCCAGCCGCCGTTGCCGCCGTTGCCGCCGCCGCCGTTGCCGCCGCCGCCGTTGCCGCCGCCGCCCCCGACCGAGCCGCCCGACTCGTAGCCCAGGTCGGCCAGGGACTCGAGCTCCACCTTCAGGTCAGAGGTCATGGGGATGAGCTCCGTGACCCCGATGTTGTCGAGGTCGTCGAGGGTCGCCGGGTGCGCCTCCGGGGCCTCCACCTTGACCACGGGCACTTGCTGCTGCTGCTGCTGCTGCTGCTGCTGCTGCTGGTGTCGCTGTTGGTGCTGTTGCTGTTGGTGTTGCTGCTGTTGGTGCTGCTGTTGGTGGTGGTGGTGTTGGTGGTGCTGCGGATGCTGTTGTTGGTGGTGGTGAGGATGGTGATTTGGGTGCTGTGGGTGGTGATGGTGGTGGTGGTGGTGATGTGGTTGCTGGTGGTGGTGGTGGTGCTCCGGGAGCGCCGGGACGGACGGCCCGAAGAAGGACGTCTGCGAGTTGACGGGCGAGTAGAGACACGTCTGGTGGAACTCCTGCTCGTGCTGCTGCTGCTGCTGCTGCTGGTGGCGGTGGTGAGCCAACAGCTGCTCGGCGAATTCCGGCTCTTGCTTCAGGTAACTCATGTTGGCGAGGGAGTCGTGCTTGAGGAAACTGTTGGCCAGCTTCTGCTCGGGGAAGAAGCCGGCGGCGAAGGGAGGTTGTCTGGGGGGAGCGCCGCCGAAAGCGCCGCCGCAGCCGCCGTTCGCCGCGGCCTTTCTGCTGCCCGGCGACGCGAGGGCGCTCGGGACGGCGCTGCGGAAGGCGGCGGACGAGCGCGTCATGCTCTCGATCCTCGCGCAGTACGTCTGCGTCGGGGCCAAGGACGTCGACCTGACGAAGGTGTGCTCATCGAAGTTGAAGGCGCTCTCGGGAGAGTCGGGCAGGTCGGAGGTGGTCGGGCTGGTGGGCACGCGCGGCGGCGACGTCGGCGTGAGCGGCAACGACCAGCCGACGGGGTCGTCCAGCGCCTGCATGTCCATCTGGTGCCCCTGGGGCAAGCCCGTCTTGCCCGCCTGCGCGCAGTCCTTGCTGCTCGTCTTGATGCTGCTGGCGAACTCCTTGCAGATGCTGTTCATCTGGTGCACCTTGGCCACCTTGCCGCCGCTGCGCTCCGACACGCCCTTGAGCGGGTCCTTCGACTTCTTGCGCGGACGGTACTTGTAGTCGGGGTACTCGCGGAGGTGCAGCTGCTTCAGCCGCTCGGCCTCCTCGCGGTACGGGCGGCGCTGCTCCTCCGTCAGCAGCTTCCAGCGGCGCCCCAACTGCTTCGAGATCTCGGCGTTGTGTGTGTCGGGCGCGAACTTGACGATCTCGCGGCGCTCCATCTGCGACCACACCATGAAGGCGTTCATCGGGCGCTTGATGTGGTTCGGAGGGTGCTTCTTGGTCTGCGAAGAGAGAGGCGAGAACGTTAATAAACGGGTAACGAAGAGAAAGTGAGATGGAGAGATAGGGGGTAACGGAAGGAGAAAGAAAATGAGTGGCAGAGAGCGAGAGAGAGAGAGAGAGAGAGAGAGAGAGAGAGAGAGAGAGAGAGAGAGAGAGAGAGGGAGAGAGAGAGAGAGAGAGAGAGAGAGAGAGAGAGAGAGAGAGAGAGAGAGAGAGAGAGAGAGAGAGAGAGAGAGAGAGAGGAAGAGGAAGAGGAGTCACTACACCTAGAACGCTAAACTCAAAAAGCGCAAGCTCATTTTCTGTTATATAAAAAAAGAAAAAAAAAAAATACACGTAACTGTTAAAAACTTGAATATTTCTCACACATTCCTCCTAACACATTATGAAAGAATGTAAAGTCCCGAGGGATTTTGGCTTAATAAAAAAAATAGAAAATAGTTTTCTTTTTTAATCATCTTTACGCCTAAATATACTCTCGGAGGACAGGGTCGTGTCATCCTCGCATCTCAGTCATGTGAAATATGTATGTCAGCTTCTACATTCAACTAGAAAAGCCAAGTCACTCCTACATTAAAAGATATTTCTTATACCACACGTGCAGATAAAGGCAAAAAGTTAGAAAGAGAAAAAGGGAGAGAGAAAAGTCGGAAGAGAAAGAGGAGAGGGACAGATAGATAAATGGAAGTAGAGACAAACAGAGAAAGAGAGAATTTGAGTGTTAGGGAACAATGGCAGAAAACTGAATTAAAAAAAAAAAAAAATAGAAACAGAAACAAATTAAAATACAAAAATCATAACACCCCCTCCCCTCCCCCCCCCCAGAAAAAAAACGACCCCATACAAACACAACCGAACCGAACTTAATTTAAAAAAAAGACAACTAGATATTAATATCAAAAACCCCAAACCCACACGCGAAACGCAAGAGTCTTAAACCACCGAACCACGGAACCACCAAATTAAACTCTTGGATTTACTCCTGTATCCCCCTTCCTCCTTGGTCAGGTGTTTGGGTCTCACTTTTGGCGGTTATCTCGCCCAGGTGTCCGAATGCGTGGCTGAGGTTGACTGTGGGATCATGTGGCTTAGGTGTGTTTGTGTTCGTGGCAACGGCTTGGTTTGTATCGTCTTTATAGCGATGGAATGTATAGGAAGAGATTGTCTAAGATATGTAAGGGTATAGATAGAGGGAAGGTAAGTGTAATATATAGATTATATGTATATGCAGTATTTGTGTGTGTAATTCATATTTATAAATTTGAATTGAAAATATATTATTCTATATATATACATACAAATCTAGTTAGACTGATAGTTATATATATACAAATATGCATATCGATATAGAAGCATAAACGCACAGGTAAATAATTTAACATAAACACTTAAACAGACGCCAACGCACACGGAGCGTTCGAAAGCGTGTCCATATAAATGATTTACTATAGAATTTATCGCCACAACGACGTTCGAAACTTCGAGACAAAGATAAGTCATTAGGAGCAATTCCAAACACATCATCCACGTCCCTCAGTTTCCTTCGGCCTAAAATATTCAAATGTCATTAAAGAATTACCGTAATTTTTCGCTTTCTGTTCATCAATTCTTTTATTATTTATTTGTTTGTATTTTCTTCCCTCTCTCTAATGCCTCCTCAGTGCCTTGAGTCCTGTCCGGTGCCATCTTCTGACAGGTGAAAGAGTGTCACCCTTGAATCTTTCTGTCATACTGGCATTTGTCATTCTTAGCTCCCCATGCGTGCCCCTCCCCCTCCTCCCTTCCCCTTCCCCTCTCCCCCTACTCCATTTCCCTTTTCCCTTCTTGTCTCTTCTACCCCCTTCTTTTTCCTCTTTCTTCTCTTTCCCCCTTCCTGCCCCCCCTTTCCTCTGTCTTCTCCTCTTCCTCCTTTTCCTATCTTTCACTCGTATATCTTCCTCCCCCTTTCCCTTTCCCCTTTCCTCTCTTTTCTACCCTTCTCCTTCTCTCTTCCCCCCTTCCCCCTTCCCCTTCTTCCTTCCATTTCCCCTTCTTCTCTCTTCTCCCCTTCTCTCTTCCACTCTCTTCTCCCCTTCTCTCTTCCTCTCTCTTCTACCCTTCACTCTTCCTCTCTCTTCTCCCCTTCCCTCTTCCTCTCTCTTCTCCCTTTCTCTCTTCCTCTTTCTTCTACCCTTCTCTCTTCCTCTCTTTTCTCCCCTTCTCTCTTCCTCTCCCTTCTCCCCTTCCCCTTCCCTCTCCCCCCAACCCCCCTCCTCCCCCTTCCCCAAGTCTCCCGCAATGGCTACTCATTCCGATCCCCATTTACATACGCAAAAGATAACCTAGAAAAAATTAAAGGAAATTCCGGGTAGTTGGTAGGTCGCTGACATAGCAATGTTGGCGAAGGAGGAGAAGGAGGAGGAGGAAAATGAGGAGGAGGAGGAGGAGGAGAAGGAGGAGGAGGAGGAGGAGAAGTGGGAGGAGGAGGAGAAGAAGGAGGAGGAGGAGAAGGAGGAGGAGGAGGAGGAGGAGGAGAAGGAGGAGCAGAAGGAGGAGGAGAAAGAGGAGGAGGAGGAGAAGGAGAAAGAGGAGGAGGAGAAGGAGAAAGAGGAGGAGGAGGAGAAGGAGAAAGAGGAGGAGGAGGAGGAGGAGGAGGAGGAGAAGGAGGAGGAGAAAGAGGAGGAGGAGGAGGAGAAGGAGGGATGAAAATAAATAATCTTTATAAAAAAAAGGAAAATATAAAAAGTGACAACAAGGAAAAAAATGGTAGCAAAAGAACACGCAAGAGAATGAAAAAAAAGGGGATGAGAGAGAAGGGAAAAAATGGGGTACGTATCTAATCTAATATTTGGTGGTCAGCCTTACTTAACTCCCCCCCCCTCTTCCTCCTCCTCCTCCTCCTCCTCCTCCTCCTCCTCCTCCTCTTCATACCCTAGACTACCCCTACCCCTACCCCTCCCATACCCATCTCTACTCTCCCCCATACCCTCCTCTACTCCCCCCCCTCATTTCCAACTCTACCCTTCTCCCCCCCTCATACCCACCTCTACCCCTTCCCCTCCCCACCCTCATACCCACGTCTACTCCTACCCCTCCCCCCCTCTCATACCTTCCCCCCTACCTCTACCCCTACCTTCCCCCCCCCTCATACCCACCTTTACTCCTACCCCCCTCTCATACCTTCCCCCCTACCTCTACCCCTACCTTCCCCCCCCCTCATACCCACCTTTACTCCTACCCCCCCTAATACCAAATGGCAGCCGAGGGTATACATTCCTAGGGCTAGAGCAAGTGAGGGAAGGAACCCAGGCTATTTTTGGGCGGTTTTTTTATTCTTTCTCTTTTTCAGATTACGTTCTCTCTCTCTCTCTCTCTTTCTCTCTCTCTTTCTCTTTCTCGCTTTCTCTCTCTTTTTCTCTTTCTCACTTTCTCTTTCTCTTATACTCTCTCTCTTTCTCTCTGTTTATCTCTCTCTCTCTCTCTCTCTCTCTCTCTCTCTCTCTCTCTCTCTCTCTCTCTCTCTCTCTCTCTCTCTCTCTCTCTCTCTCTCTCTCTCTTTCTCTTAATTATGGAAAACGAGCGAAAATAAAAAAAATCCACAACATCCTTCTATTTATCCACCTAACATTCATCTATTTATCTATTCAACTCACTATTTATCTATATATTCACCTCTTTATTCGCCTTTCTGTTTATCTATTTATTCGCCTATCTATTCATCTATCTATCTATCGACCGGAGAACCAACCTCCCAAGTAGCGAGCGGAGTATCACGCAAAGCCTAAATTGCCCACTTCTTCAACAACTTTATTTGGCACATGTCACTGCGTTTACCCCCTTGATCTCTTTTTTTTCTCCTCTTCCCCTTCCCCACTTTCCTTTTTTTTCCCCTCTTCTCCTCCTCTTCTCCTTTTCTCCCCCTCTTCTTACTTCTCCATTTCTCCCCCTCTTCTCCCTCTCTCCCCCTTCTCCTCTTCCCTACTTCCCCCCCTCTCCTCGTTTTTTCTCTTTTCTTTTTTCTCTCTTCCCCCCCCCCCCTGTCCTCTCTTCCCTTCTTCCTCTCTTCCCTCTATCCCTTACCCTTTCCCCTTCTCTCCCCCTACCCTCACCTCCCCCCTCCCTTGAATGTGACAGCAAACCATGCGACAAGGTACAGTTTAAAAAAAAGAGCGAGCGAGCGACACAGAGAGAGAGAGAGAGAGAGAGAGAGAGAGGGAGGGAGGGAGGGAGGGAGGGAGGGAGGGAGGGAGGAGAGAGAGAGAGAGAGAGAGAGATAGAGAGGGAGGGAGGGAGAGAAAGAAATATCGATAGATAGTTAAATAGATATAGAGGGAGAGGGGGAGAAAGAGATAGATAGATAGAGAGAGAGAGAGAGAGACAGAGACAGAAAATAGAAAAAAAGAGAAAAAAAGAAAGAGAAAGAGAGAAAGAAAAAGAAAAAGAAAAAGAGAGAGAGAGGAAGAGAGAAAGGAACCAGAAAAAAATATATTGGCAATACTCGAACATCTGGCTAAATGTGTGGATTGTATACCTTGACGCCTTAAGGATTTTCTTGTCCTTATCACCTCTTTCACCAAGACGGAACCGGATACCCTGGGCGGCGATTACGGATGCGTAGTGGCCGAATACCGAGAGGATTTCGACTCTTTTGTTTCTGTGTTTATCTTTTATTTATTTCCGATTCTTTTTCTTTTTTTCTTTTTTTTGAGAGAGAGAGAGAGGGGTGAGATTGAGGATGTAAGCTGCCGTTTTCAATTTTTTTTTTTTATGTATATATATTTTTTTTACTATATTAGATATATATACATTTTTTTTGTTTTACTTTCTTTTGTTGATGTGTCAGTGTCCTTGTTTATTTCTTATTCTTTGTTTAAGTAGATTAGATGATATCTCCGTGTGTGTGTGTGCGTGTGTGTGTGTGTGTGTGTGTGTGTGTGTGTGTGTGTGTGTGTGTGTGTGTGTGTGTGTGTGTGTGTGTGTGTGTGTGTGTATGTGCGCGTCTTTGTGTGCGTGTGTGTGT